CTGTCAACAAGTTGAAGTTTAGCATTAATACAGCATTTGAAGTATGTATTAGTGTTTAATCACTAAAGTGTGTTAAGGCTAATGAATGCTATTTATTCTAAAGTGTTATCCAAACTGTAACCTTATAAATATCTATAGCGTTAGAGTTTATACCAGAAGACTATTAACTCCAGGTCCACTTTTTACATTTATTAGAGCTTTAAACTTAATTTCATGATGTTTCTTGGTTTGGTGTAGTTTGCTAGTGTTGTCATGGAGATAGCTCAGTTGTCATTATTAGATCATATGATAAAAACGGAGCATATGCATCTCCACCACAATAGAAGACACTGTTAAGAAATGCAGAGATGAGGTTGAAAGCTCCAGAGAAAGCTAGAAGGTGGAGCTTGACTAAAGATAGGCCGTTCAAACATATAAATATGTGTTTATAATATTTAAAAATGTATTACCAAGAGGCAGAAATATGACAATCTGCAAAATATGGAATGTTATTCCACTGGAAATATGTTACTGTTTAAATAACTGTGCAGTCCCTTATCACTGGAAGCGGAAGGAAAGGATTTACACTACTGGGCTCTGAAAGCTCCTGTGCTAATATTATAGCTCCACAACACACACGCTTTACAAAAGCAGCAGCACGACATCCTGCAAGGGAAAAGAAAAACCTTGAATGGCACTGACCTGTAATATTTACCCAGGGTGACTCGTGCATGGCTCACTCACAGCTATAGAGGGCCGGCACACCTCAGGGCACAGGCCGGGTGTTTGTGTTGCTCCTGATGCAGAACAGATGAGACTTTTTATACATTTTTGAGTTGCTATTGAAGATTGGAACACCGTGTGTTCAGTAGCCTTGTGGTCAGTCAAAAATGTAAACAGTGATATGCCTTTTAAAATACAAAAGATACAAAAGTGTGTTGGAACGGCTGCTTTACAGGATTTTGTCTACATGATTAAGATTGTTAAGTGGAGTTCACGCAGCTTCAGTGTTAAACAACCCCTGGGAGGTCAGACTCTTGTTTGAAAAGAGGGTGGGGTGTCTACTCCACAATGTAAACACTTCAAATGGAACATCAGTCTATTAGCAGCGTTTCTGATTAGTTGATGAACAAAAGCAATCAAAGGCCGCCGTGGTCTCTTGAAGACTATATATCAATGTCATTTTGCTCAGGGCCTGGTAGTGATTGGCATGTCATTAAGTGTCCTGTTTACAATAAGCTGAGGAGCCCACATACCAAGTCAGCAGATGACTCTGAAAGGCTGTTAGTCATCCAGTAGATCGTGAAAATGATCGTAACAAGTGCTGTAGTCATCATCATGTGGCCACGCCATTTTACCTCACAGAGAGGATATTCAAGCTCTTGAACTGAGTTGTCTCTTTGTTGGTGATTGTTGTCTGCAGGGGCTTATATGAAAGCTGCTTTTTGTGTATTTATATACATGATTATATTTGGCTGTCTTTAAGTTTGGGATTTGGTGCCATCATCAGGGCACGTCCGGTATAGAAGGAATCCAAAGTGCTTTTTATCCAGTATTTAGTGATTGTTTTAGCGAGCAGTGGACTGAGTGTGTGCTGCAGCTTAGAAAAAGTTCTCATAGTGAAATATGATGTCTTTCGATTTGTTTTGTTGTATCAGGGTTTGTGGAGAAAGTGTCTGCATGAGACTTTTCCTAAGGTTGCGTGAGTCTTTATATGATTCGACAGGTGAGTATGCACATTAATGAGTGAGTAAGGAATAACATCCCCTGATTCCAGTAACTAGTCTTTCTACGGCCAAAGCCATGCCTCTTGTGGTCGCTGACGAACTCGGAGATCAAAAACTTTCTCCACCACTTTCTATAACCATGACATTTAACAGAAAAATAAGTACATTCTTCCATGCTTCAGACTGCGAACTCTGCATTTTCCATTACAGCGATGAAATGACACTACTGCATGTGTGTGTTACCAATTGGCTATCCCTTATGTTTTCCCTTTTTAGGTTTTAGTTGATGTGCTTATTTTTTTATGAATTTGCAATAAAAGCCACATGTTAATTAAAGAATAGGCACAAAGTGCAAGAGGCAAACAACTCATGAATTGTGGTCCCTGATTTAAAGTTCAGTTGGCAGAGTTAAAAATAATACATTCATACTTCAGTCTTTGTGGAACCGACTCAATACTAGCACATGATGTAATAGCCTGATGAAAATGTCTGCTTTATTTATAGCATGTCTCTTTTTTCCCGTCTTACCTACCAATTGTTGGACGAATTACAAGCTAAATAAATTTAATTTTTTGGATAATCTACAATTATTTTTGATTTATTTTAACTCCATTTACCTTAAAACAAAGGGCAAAATAAATAGTTGACATTAATAAGCTATTTTTTAAATATTATTTTTAGTAATGTATTATTATTATTATTATTATTATGCATTTGTCATATTCATTAGCCTCTAAAGTATTTTCATTTTTCCTCGCGTGTGTAAAACACATGGAACTAATGAAATTGTAGTATGTCAAGGAGGAGAGTCAATACATCCTCTCTATCCAATAAAGCAAGATTCACTGCACAATAAAAATTAGTCATTATCATAATTAGAATAAATGGTAACTGGCCAAACTGGAGTGTGAGTGTGACAGCTGTAGGCTGTAATATGGGTGGACAGCACTGCACACACACATCTGCAGTAGCAGCAGCTGGGGATAATTACGTTTCATATGATTATATTGTTCACATGTCTGCAAGCTGTCAAACATTTTTGTTGTTTTTAAGTTTTTCAGGATAGAAAAGAAAAATAAATTGCTTAAAAACAAGTTTGTTCCGTGGATCAGGTAGTGACCCAGACTGGCATCAAAAAACACACCCACAGCTTGAAAAAATTCACTCTAAATTCAGGCACACTTCCATTAGTAAAAACATTCCCATATGGCATTTCACGCCACTTCCAAAAAAATACCATAAGAGTTTCTTTTGGCTCCACACTTCTTTCAGCGTCCAATCCATTCCTTAATAAAACTTGCTTTCACTTTCCACCTCCTTCCTTACACTCTGATTGACTGCAGAAGCAGTTTGAATCCCCTCAGCCCTTTAGTGTTTGTAGGAACTCATCCAGGACGATTAACATTGTTCACAGTGCTTCATTCATAGCGTACAGACTTGAGAGTAAGAAGTGTTTGCTCTAACTGCACGTGGTATGCTCATATATTCATTGTGTTGCATGGATCCATATTGTGACATTGTCAGAAGTATGTGTACATTATGTTGCCGTCCTGATATTCAAATCAAAAATATTTAGTTATAGAAGTCTTCTGTGAATAAGTATTGGTTATGGGTTATCCTGGTTAAATGAAAAATTACATATTTGCAATTTGTCAGATTATGTGTGTGTTGGGCAACAAAATGTAGTTAAAAATGACAGAGAATGTCTATACAAATTATCTGTTCAGTGAAGGAAAAGCCACAAGACATTAGAGACTCAGCTGTTTTTTCCTCCTCAGGAAATCACATACTAACGCTTACCCACAGAGGGCAGTATTGTAGCAGTAAGTTGTCTATAGGCCTATATAATATGTAAAACATGCTGTGTGGGGCCTTTCTTTAATCACACCTCCACTACACTGGCTGTCACGTTGTATGGGCTCAGAACAGTCTCATAATACACACATGCACACATAAGGATTCACACTTGTATTTCATGATCCGCAAAAGGATTCACACTTGTATTTCCGGATCCACACTTGTGTTTTTCAATGCACACACAAATGTGTTCCGTTTCATATACATGTAAATAAAATCCAAATACAGAAAAAAGTTTTACATATGTATTTTTGATCCTCACATATTTGTTTTCCGTTTAAAACCGCTGCACCTACAAACACAAACCGCTTTCTGTGCATGGATCGCTGTGCATGTGTGTATTATGAGACTGTTCTGAGCCCATATTCCTAGGGGTTCATTGTAACCCTCACACGGCCCTGAGTTAATGTACAGCCATCAGCAGCTTGCATAAACGTGCATGCTTCACCTGAAGGATGCTGCCAAAGATAGGTTACAGGCGTCTGTAGGAAAGAATAAGAACACTCACTCCTTTCGATTTCCAGGTACAATTCCAAAGTGTGATGGGGACATGTGCTTAAATTATGCTGTATACATTGTGTCATCATAAGCATCAAACCGAAGTAGTGATTGTTTTACCTTACTGTATCCAATGGTTGTTTTCACTGAGTGAAAGCAAGAATTTAAAAAAACGATATGTCTGATTTATGCTGCTATCTCTTCATTATGTTTCTTTGTTATACGAATAAAGAGCGACACTCAGAAATGACTGATATTAAACATTGGGTTTATCTGCTTACAAATTATGATGTTTTGGTATCATAATTTATTTTATTCTATTTTGTGTCACTGTTATTTTTGGTATTTCATTGTCATGCGTTTTTCCGAAATATATTGATACAGGGAATTATGTGTTTGATACCTGTTTATGTATGATCAAATGTTTCACTTTCAGTTGAAACGGAGTTTTTATAGTCAGGCCACTATTTACTTGTTACGTTTCATCCCACAGGCCATAAGATTGTTAAACACCTGCACTTTTGAAAGAACATCCATAACATGCATCTGTTTGCAACTCACATCAATATTCCAATTACTGTATAGACTATTCTGCACTGTTTCTATTATATTCTATCATATTCTATTTTATTTTATTTACCTGTAGCCTACTATTTGATCTGTTTTGTTGTGTTGCACTGTTGGAGGAGCCTGCCTGTGACCCAAGATGTTCCTTGTCATAACTGTATGCACACATGACAATAAAAGCCTTGAAACGTGAAACTACTATTAAGAGTAGTATGAATACATGCATACGAAATAAAAGAAAATACCCTAATGCTAATAGCTGCGTGTCTTCTTAGCACACCAGGCAGCACCATGTGAGTTTTTACCTTTGTAATGAGTGATCCATCTTCTCGCCAATAGACGCTCTTTGGATGGGAGCGCGTCTGCAAAATGAATTCCATGGTGTCGTCAGTTCCGTAAAGCGTTGCTCCTGGCTTCATTAAAAAAAAGGGAAGAAGATAGAGGATTATTTACGAAGAGTCAGGAGACAGGCACAGTGAAAACAAGGCTTTTACTAGCTATATTAGTGAAATATTCCTAAACAAGAGCGCTGCATTGTTTGTGTTTTCCTCGGACTGACAAAAGACACACCAGTCTGCTGTAAGCCGCATGAACTGGGATGCACTGCTGTTAGCCTGTTATTAGCTTGCTGGCTAGCTTCACGAACTGCACTGTTTTTACCACGGGACCAAGTAAGTCAATTCATAAATAAGGACGATATTTCATTGTGTCTGTGTTTGGGATGTGGCATTAAAGCCATTGTTAACCAGCCCTTTGAACACTGGTTTGTTTTACCCGGCTTCCTCTTCATGTGAGAACTAGAAGCAGGCCTTTTTTTCTCTAGAAAGCATATTAATTTCCAGCCGGAAAACCTGCTTCAATATTTTGCAGGTTCACAACAAATAGCACTCGCAGTTTGTTTTGTTTTATCCCCAAATAAACCCCCACTGTTTGGTGCAGATTGAACCCACAGGGGAGGCCTGCATCTAGCGTTACCTGCTGGTGAGAGTACACCTGTGCTGATGCACCTGTCATGGCTCCCAGGATGCTCGAATTGTGCGACTGATTTCAAATTTAAGACTCCACACTTTTACTTACATAGCAATGTATAAGTCACGTTTGTGTGTCTTTAGTTATAAAGATAAATAATACAGAATACTGTCTCTGTTGTAGCAGCATTTTGGAACATGCCAATTCCTAAAAAAAAACTGTTAATGATTAATTCTCACTCCATTAAACATTGATTTAGCCTGGTTTTAGTGACACATCTGAGAGAAAAAATGTAGAGGATTGAGGCATGTATTGTAACAAGCCTCGTCAAGTAGCTAGAACAGGGCGTATTTTAGACGAAATGTTATGCAAAGCAGCTGTTGGTTGCTCAGTCTATGAAGACCTTTAAGTCTGACATCCTAGCTGACTGCTTCCTACTGCAAGAGGGGAATCATGCATATGTTAATTCAGTCTGTCACGTTTTTCAACCCAAAGCCCTGACACGGTTGCTGTGAGATGTCTTAAATTAGTGTTTTCTGTGTTGAATATTGTTGTACAAGACTAGCACAACTTCTAATGTCTACAGAGATGTGTCATTCCTCAGGAAATGGAGTGGGCATGGCCCAAAAGCCAACTTAGGCTAGGTCCTAGCAAATGTAAACAACTGCGACCTCACTTCAAACAAGATGTGTGCCAGCTAGTGATCTAACTGCCATTACCCTGCCATAAAGTCACATAGTCTCAAAAGGACATCATGCAAGTTTTTGTTCTTACTCATTTAAACGTTTGCCTTAATACTCATTTACCATACACTTATTATTAGCCATGCTGCATTTGAGTTATGTTTTTTTACATCATTCCGGGTTTCTGCTTTTAAGTGGAGTTTATAATAATTAAAATCCCTGGAAAATACACGTCCATACGATTTTAAAGCTTAACACACACAGTCGTTTTTGTTATGATTATCTGTTAACATTATTTAAACGTTAATAAAAAAAAACTGAAAATCCAGAGAAGAACTAAAGGAAGCTACTGTACATGCCCGAGTTTATTACGTTTTGACGTTTCTGGTTTATCTGTCACCCTTGACTGAAATGTGAAACCAAACCATGTTAACGTTAGGGCTGCTCGATTATGGCAAAAATCATAATCTCGATTATTTGGGTCAATAATTGATATCACGATTATTAAAAACGATTATCCATTTACTTTGAAAACATCCATTTATTGAAAAAAAAAATGTGAACAGTATGTTTTTAACAGTTGATTACCCTGAACTTTAAGTATAATTCAACTGAAAAACCAATAAAAACAAAAATCGTTTTATTTCGATTATGTTGTTTTCATAATCGTTGCAAGCCAAAATCGTAATTGCGATTAAAATACGATTAATTGAGCAGCCCTAGTTAACGTCTTTCGGCACTTAAATTGGCCTTCAAATCATTATTTTATCTGTGGTCTTGTCACACACGTTTACATGACACAAAGACCCCCCCTTTAATGTTTGTCTGAGTACATTTATTTAGCTGTGAATTCATTATCCCATTGTAAGCCAAAAATAGTAGCTGCTTGTCCAGTAATTATTTGCAAACACTACATGTATATGAGTGTTACAACATATTTAATGTGTGATGAGTAATTAAACCAATATAATCTGGTTTGATCTGTTAGAATGGTTAGACTATGTTCAAATCAACATTTAAATCTCCTCTTTAGTCTGTTCGTGTATGGAGCTAACGTACAGCCCTGTAATGAGGTGTAAAGTAGAGTAGCCACTTCGACAAGCGGCCGCCTGAGTGCAGGGCTTTCATAGGTGTGTTGTTTTTATCTCAAGTGATAGCCTTGCTCTTTGAAATCCACCGCCTCGCTTATTTGTGGCTATTATATTCCCATCTTCCTTATGATTTGGCTGTTTGGACTAACCTCTCTGGGCCCTCAGCTTCAAAGCACCAATTAGGCTATTTCACTGTATTTACATAAAGTAGTGTGTTGTAACCACTCTTTATCTCTCTCTCTCTCTCTCTCTCTCTCTGCTTTTTCACACAGGCGTAGTGCATTATGACAGACAGCATTATGAGTAAAGCTGCCACAATGGAGATTCCTATCAACAGTAATGGAGACACAGGGACACTTCCAGAAGATGACAGCCTTGAACAGGTGGGTCACAGCTACTAAATCAGAGACCGTCCACTGTGTGTCACATTTGAAGACCATCATGTGTTGTTGCTGGTCATCTATTTAAAGCTATTCCACAAGGAAATGATCATGAATCGGTTAGTGTTTACCTACCCGCTAACCCAAGCTGACAGAAGATACTTTGTATATTTAAAACCAGGCAGCAGGAAACAAAAGAAAGTATGGAGAATACAGAGTTTTTTATTTCCTTATTTATTTAAATGCTAGAAATGTCACTACATTTGTATTATCTAGGCTAAGGAAAGGTTCCCATACTGCTAGATCATTGTTGGCCCTTTGTAGTTGTTTCATTACTTAGAGACTGTTGCATTAAAGGGTTTTACAGCAGTGTTGATGTGATTTCTGGGTAAAAAAAAAAAGATTTATATTTAAACTTAGCTTCCTTTAGTTATGTTATACATATTCGTTTCATTCGTTTCTTGTCACTTTTAGTGTAAATTTGAGTGTGGTCTTGAAAATGTTTAGTAGGTGGCGCTTTATAATGAGATCACATTGACATACGTTCACATATACACAACATTTCAAAAAGACAATATTTGTACTAAGCATGTACTTAACATGGCTAATGAAAAAGAATATTCCACTCATATTTCCATTTAATTTTTATTTTATTCACAATATTATCATATTTGAAATAATATTGTAATATTAGTGTGCATGTGAACATGGCCATTGGCTGTCAGCTTGTCTTCCCCTAAGAAAAATGACATTTTAACAATAGCCTGAACTTGATGATGTATTTATTGTTATAATTCTCTCTCTGAAGGTTACATCACTCGCATGAGAGCACGTGAAAAAAGTAGACCTAAATACTTAAGCCTGATGGCTTTCATGTGGTATTACGGTTGGTTTCTGTGATGGATAAATGAGAGCCTGTATTCAGTTGTTGGAAGTTGATATTGTGGTTTTTGGCTATTGTGAGCCAGTGCTTTTCAGACCATTTAAATTAACCCTACTTGCCACACTGCCATTTGATAATATGTACAGTACAATTCAGGACTAATGCTTTTAGTAAACACAGTCTTGAACACTGGCTTTGTAAATGTGGCCAATCACTCACCACAGATCTCTCATTTTGCATTAATGTTTCAGATGCTCAGTCTCAAAAGATTTGTTCAGGTCTTTAATTGTGAATTTAAACAGGTTTTTCTGCCTGGGTTTAACTACGATTGTATTATGGGTTGCTTTCATACTCAACCAGGAGTTCTTGTGTTTCTCAGCTTGCTTAGCTACAACTGAACAGAGAGCCTACTGGGAAATCAGGTGTTGCTATCCAGCTGTCGGCATGGGAACCATGTGTTCCCATTAACAGTTAACAGGTTTTAGAAAGATCTGTGCTGTGTTTGACCTCTTTACTAGGCGCCAAACTCTCAGGTGTAGTTGTTGCTCTCCAGCTGAAGACTGTTCATTTACAAAGCAAATAGGCACCTGTGGGCGTCATTTGAAAAAGAAAGATATATGTATTTGAGTGTCTTAGTCAGAGCCCGCAAAGGTGAACTAACAGTGGAGTTGTAGAGTAAGTAAGGGGAACAGTCTGTTAATCTTCCTGCGTACAAAGGCACACCTTTTGGACAAACAGACTGCAGATCCTGGAGGGTTGATGCTGTTGTTTGCTCACCACACTGTGTTCCACTCGAACAGTAAAAGAAAAGCCAACCTCCTCAACAAGCTTGCACGGTGAAGCGAGTATTCAACCATGTGCTGTGTCTACCCAGTTTTCCATGTTCATGTATGAGGAGTGTTTAGCTGCACTGTTTAGTGCTGGATATTAACCAGTTGCCATAGCAACTCATAGCAATTAGTCTGAAACTGGCTGTTCTTTGTCCTTGGGTGAAAGCCCTCTGAATTCAGATTGCTATCAGCTGTACAACACTCAGTTTAAAGCTGCAGCAGTCTACTGTTTATGTACAGCAGTGAAGATTGGCAGGTGAGGGAATAGCAGAAGTCTGTTTTTAGATGTTGTAGCTTTGCACTTTTTTCGTAACAAGGACGGTGACTGGCAGCTTGACAGTGACAGAGACAGGATTTACTGTGGCTCACTGGTTTCAACTCAGACAGTCAACAGCCTTTTAACAAACGTATACTCATCTACAAAATCTATGATAGATGATTACTTATGCTTTACATTTGGAGATATCACAAATATATTGTCAGAATTTCTAAGCTGCCCAGCTCTTTGGTAAATAAGGTTTTGTGGCATTTTAAAATGTTGCCGTGTCAATTTAAACCAGCCTTTTTTTATGATGACGCAACGTTCTTTCGTTTTTCTTCCTCTCAAGAAACAGGCACTTTGTCAACCAAGTGTCCTGGGAGGGATCAGTGTCTGCTTCAGCTTTCAGATTGAACAGATGCCACAACTTGAGGCAGATCTCTAAAAGAAGAGAATCACTGATTTGAAGGAGAGAATGTGGTTAAACAGGCTTTGTCCTCGTGTTGCACAGGTTTTGAAGTTGTTGGTTCAGTGTCTAAGGAAATACAAATTCCTCTGGTGCTGTAATGAAGTCCTGACGCCAGACATGACCCACAATCATTGTTTAAATAGACACATCTATTCTTATGATTATAGATTGTAGGACCTAGAGTTTTGGCATTCAAATGTAGTGTTTGTGTGTTTTTCATTTTATACCCCCTTATTATCAATGTCACCTTTTTAATGTCTGTAAATGTCTTGTAATTAAATGTCTTTCTTTTTTTAAAGTTTTGTTATGAATCTGTTTGCCCAGACAGTGATTGAATAATATCATAACTTAGCTTTGTTAACACATTATAAAGAGAAAGTGGTGAGTTGATCCACTTGATCTAGCTAAATGATTATCAGTCATCACTGCTCTCCATCCTACATCCCTGCTGTCTGTGGACATTATGATGATTCCCTAGCGATTTATTTTACATCATTCTCTCTTGTTTCATGATTTCAGTCATGGATTTTTTTCTTTTTTGTCTCCTTTCTTTTTCTATTTGTTTCTTTTCTGTTGTTGTTGTGTTTGTCGATTCCCCCCCCCCCTCCTCCATCTCTGTGCAGGCTGCACATCTGCAGTGGAGCTTAGATGAGCAGGTAGGGAGCTCCAGAGGCACCAGGGTGAGCAGTGCATTTGTGTATGTGTGTGTGTTTTAATGTTGATGTGTAGTACTGCTCAGTGGTTTGAATTGATGCTGGCTGCATTAAATTCCCTTGCATCATTACGTGGGTTTATTTCACAAAGTGTCATATATTTCATTTTTACGACAAACCACTATGCAGATTTAATTGACTGTCACAGTGAATTGTCGCCTACTAACTCTAGATAGAAGGCGTCTCTCAAACATGTTTTGAGAGATTTCCCTAAAATCGAGTAGTATTAACAAATAGCACACAGCTAACACTTATGACTCAACATTGCAATCTGTTCCTATTTGATTCTTAATAATCATCTAGTGTGCGTTTTTGCTTATATAGCCTAGATTCTGTGTGAACTTGGGTGTTGTGCGAGTGTGATTCCCTAATTCTAGAGGGTGTTGTTTAACTAAACAAACATAGCAACTTACTAATAATCATCATGTCATACTGCTGTAATATTGATGTGGATTGGTTGTGCTTCTTATGTTTTGTTGTGTCAGTCATAATGAGAAATGTATTTGTCTTATTCAAGAATTTAAGAGAGCTGACCAAACAGATAAGAGTGAAGAAAATTGTAGATATTTTTAGAATAGAGACATTTAGCATCACGCTGCTGTCCTCCAGCAGCCCAAATAACTGACGTTGTATTTTTACTTCCTTTTGGTCGTAACAAAAACATAGTCTTTGTGTTTGCTTACAAAAGGAAACCGCCACCTCCCTTCCAGAGCTTAGGAGTTTCCTTATCACAATCTTACTTTACAGTGTAGGCCTAAGGATTCAGGAAGTCTCCTATATATTACCCTCTCGTTTACATTTTACGATGGACGATACGGGTCTGTAGGTCGGTGCAGCGTTCGTAACATATAAACACAGGCAGAAGTTAGCATATTTAGACATGTTGATAGTAGCAACCAAAGCTCACATATGGTTTGCCAAAGTAAGAAATCTTTTCAGGCTCGATTTTCCTTTGCCCAAAATTCCTCACAAATGTTTGTTTTTCTAAAATAGCTGATACTTGAAAGTATGGCAAACAAAAGAGAATTGTGAGTTAAATTAAGGAAAACACAAAAGATGGATGGTAGCACATTTCCCCTCACGCTTCTTTGATTATTTTGAAAAGAGACAATAGTTTGCTTGAGCATTTCCTGCTGCATAGATCAATGCAGCCACTGCTTGGGTTAGACTGGTCTATTCTTGCTGCTGTGGTATTGTAGGGTTCTTACTTTCTCACTTCATGGCAGAAGATTCAGTTCTAGTGATTAGGTGGGTTGATTATTGACTGGGCACTTTAGTTGTGTTTTCTGTCTTTCACACTCTTTATAGTGGCTTCCAGATAAGGGCCTGATGATCGTGTGTACTCACTAACCTTTCCTAACATAGTAGTGTTTGTCCCCCTCTAGTGACTTGCCCTTTAACCTACATTGTCTGAATGTAACACTCAAGCCATAATCTCCTGTCTACATATCCCCACCCCAAAACCCTCTATCCCTATTCCCTTTTTTCTTGTTTTTCTTGTTTTTCCCCACCAACCTTGTAGGACCTACAGCAGGTGATGGTATCGGGCCCCAATCTCAATGAGACCAGCATTGTTTCTGGAGGTTATGGAGGAACAGCAGAGGGAATCATCTCCACCAGCTCAATCAAAGGTACAGTCCTACTCCTTACTTCTGACATCTTTTCAGCCTCCTCTCATCTATGCTGACACTGTCTCATTTTGACTTCCTCTATTCAGCGAGTGTTTGATTTCTCTGCCTCCTATAATCCCTCCCATGAGATCATGCTGCAATTAATATGTTGTCAATTTGTGCTGATTCATCCCCAGCTTCACTACACTCTGCTGTATCTCAAATTATGCCTCTGTGGTGTCTGTTCTTTTATAGTTCTTTTTATGTACGTGCAGATATGGGAATCTGATAGACTGAATGAAGAACCTTTCAATAATCTTTCTAAACCCACGTGAGCACCAGTGTTGAGTCTAAATGTATTTAGACAAACATTTGATTTATTCCCAAACTGTATGTTTGAAACAGGATAATTTACGCTTTAACTACTGCAGTTATCGTTAGTCCTAATGGAAATAATGTAACTTACTGATTTAAAAAAAAAAAAACCTTTTCTTCGTTAGCTTTTATTTCAGTTTAAGTTTCATTATACAGACATGTTCACATTTTAGTCAACAGCTTTTCCATTTTCATTTAGCTGTATCCACAGAGCCAACATATAACAGTGTGTGTGCTAATGTGCAGGTTAGTGTCATTTAATAAACAAAAATAAAGCTTTTAAAAGATATCTAAAACATCTCCCAGACATCAAGGCAGCCTCTTGCATTGTTCTTACGGTCTGAACAAATTGTATTTTCTCATGACCATCTCAAGTTTTCAGATACACTCTCACCGTTCTCAGCCACTACTAATCGACAGGTAATCATCAAATATGTCAGTGTTAAAGGGAGAGTTAGGCAGGGGGTTTTGAAGCTATATGGCATTAGCAACCGTATATCCAACACAGCAAGACTTTCATGTTTTGATGAAACTGTCATTCAGTATGAAATAACCTTAAACTAAATGATAAATAGATCCAGTACACTGTGTCTTGGACTTTTTTCCACATTATTCTCGAGTTCAAGGCAGTGACTTCAGCAGTGTAGCTGAATACAGCGTGTCAAAGGGGAAAGGACACTGCTCTCTTTACTTATCATTTATTACTAATATTTCTGCGTCCCTCTCTCTCTCTCAGGCCCTGCTGTGCGCTACAATGCAGAGTTTAACAAAAGGATCTCAGTTGAAGGAATAGGTGGCTGCTTAGACTTCATTGTTATTAATAATAGAGAGCTTATTTCCAAAATGTAATGTGTGTAGGATCCACAACGTCTGTAAATACTGTTGTTAAGAATTGGTAATAGAGAACTTTTCTCCTGTTACTGGCATGAAACATTTTTGATTTAAAAAAAAAACAAAAAACCCTGCATATTTATCACATGATGGCATTTTGGAAATACGCTTTTTATTTTATTTACTGCTCCTTTTTGATCTAAATAACTATTTCTCTTTTTGTATCAGCGGAGAGAAGGGCATTCACTTATTTCTGGCTTCTCTTCTTCATGGACAAATTGTGGCTTTTTTTCTATCCCAGCATTTCTTCTCTCTGTGGTTGGTTCTCTTTGTGATTTATGCTCATCTATTATGGGGTCTGCACTTTTATGTTTTTCCCAAAATAACTTGCAAACCTACTTTCTGAACGTCTCAGCAAAACAGAAACCATCTTCACTTCTGTCACATTGTATATTTGTTATAAGACCTTCAATATTTATGGATACAATACGTTGTCGTTGGGAGAACCTTAGTAAACTTAAAGCTTTTAGAGGCCCCTATTTTTCTCATTTTAATCTTTTCCACGTACTGATGTGAAGTGAAAGGCTCTGAAGTGTACTGCTGCATTTCAAAGTGCCCCTGCCTTCATCATCACTCATTTGTCAGCATTGTCATTCACTAAATGAAGTCTTTTCATCTTTGTTCTTCCAACTCCTTGTCACCATTCCCTCCTACATGTTCCATATCCTGCTCTTCTCCCTTTTTGTCGTCCTACATTTCTGTCTTTCCTGCTTGTGTATGTTTAAACCCTTAACATCCAACCATCCTTTTAAATCCTGATCCTTAAAAAAACATTCCCATAATGTAAAATAAATTATCTAAATCCCGGTCCAATACCTTTCCCTAAATCATACTCACCCTGAACCATTCATCCACACCACCGCCCCCCTCCCCCCCCCCCCCCCCCCCCCCCCCCATCCACTGTCACAGACCTGCGTATGAAGGCCGGACGAGTAAGCGTTCCCCCGAGCCGTTCTCTCCTCTGCCACATAGCAAGCCATTCAAATGAATACCAAGGTACTGGGGAGGCAAGGAGGTGAATTTGAATGCTACACACTCTATGTTGGTTAATCAAGTTATTCCCATTAAGGCAATTACCCGAACTATTCCTACAGGATTTTCAGCTTTTATTACAGCTCAATAATTAGAATGTGGTGTCAACTATTTTAATGTCATTGTTCCTTAGTCCAATATTCCTTCTCGGCTCACCATTCTGCCTTTTCTTGCTCTTTTCTCGCTCATTAACTCACTCCTATGCATGTCTAACAGCGGTTTATGGGTTAGTGTGGTGATGCACACGGGTTAGCAGATGGTTGACAGGCTTTATTGAATGCGGCAGTTTTAATGTACTTTTGAATAATGTATGATTCCCTACATGAAAGTGTTTCTTTATTAACCATGTTCCTGTGTTTCTTCTTTCTCAGGTTCCAACATGCACCACAGCAGCAGCAGCAGCTCGTCCATGACTGCAGAGGAAGCGTCCCGCGGTGTGGCTGTGGAGAAAATAGAAACGGTGAAGAAGTGGGGTCTCAACACTTACAAGGTATCTAAGGTTCTTTCATTTTACGCTTCATGATAAAGAGCTTCTTGATGATTTTAGTTTTGCTGTGTGCCTGAGGATTTCCTGGAACCAGGCACCCCTCCCCATGTCCCTATCCTGTCAAATCCAATCACAGAAGGGAATTGTGTTACTAATGCCTCTGTACGTCTTCCTTATTCTTTCAGTGTACAAAGCAAATGATCTCGGAGCGTTTTGGTCGAGGTTCCCGGACTGTGGACCTGGAGCTGGAGGCCCAGATTGAAGTGCTGAGAGACACTAAAAAGAAATATGAGAATGTGCTGCGATTGGCCAGAGCGCTGACCAATCACTTCTACAACATGGTGCAGACGCAGCATGCGCTTGGGGACACCTTTGCTGACCTCAGTCAGAAATCTCCAGAGCTGCGGGTGAGGCCTCAGAATCTGTTCATGTAGCTTTTATGTCTCATCTCTTACGGTACGTCCACACGGTTCCGTCGCGTTGAAGCTTGCCGGTGGGCGTGTCGAGCAACGGAGGCAAAGCGACGCGACGGAACCACAACGCAGTTCGGCAAAGCTTGACGTCACCCCATTCAAAGTGAATGGGAAGCGTCTCCGTTTGAAGCACGTGACGGAACCGTGTGGACGTACCGTTACATATTGATCTGCAGCTGGAAGTTAAATAATAGGTTTATGTAGACGACATTGAAAAGCATTAACCCCATTCATGCTCTAATGTATTTTATTAATGCATTTACAGGATGAGTTCGGCTACAACGCAGAGACTCAGAAGTTGCTGTGTAAGAACGGGGAGACTCTGCTTGGTGCCGTTAACTTCTTTGTGTCCAGCATCAACACACTGGTCAACAAGACCATGGAGGACTCCCTGATGACGATCAAGATGTATGAAGGTGCCAGGTAAGGACATGCAGCCCATTAATAAACCATTTCACCCAAGAAACTGGATGGCAACTCTTTTAAAGGAAGATAAGCAAATGGATAAAGACAACATTTTGTACACAAAAATATATAATGATAATATAATTGTAATATTATTGCAAGGAACTTCAGATGAAATGACATTAAAACCGGCATTGAGTCTAGATCTTTTTGATATATCATCTAAATATATCCACATTTTGTTATCTCAAATGCCTGAACTTCTGGTGAAAATCTAGCGAAGAATTTAACCCACTTAAAACTACTGCTAATCTGTGATTTGATCAGATTTGATTAAAAGTGACCATGCTTCCTTTTAATATTGTCAAATCCTGTTTGGTGCACTAAAACACAATTACAGTAATCTATCATGTGATACAGTTTACATCCAATTAGAGTTGAAAGACACGTTTTAGGGCCTTTTTTAAAACACTGTATTTTCTCCCTCTTTTTTGAACAGACTGGAGTTTGATGCCTACCGGTCAGACCTGGAGGAACTGAGTCTGGGTCCAAAAGACGCTGTAGCCATGGCCCGCATAGATGCTGCTCAGCAACAGTACCAGGTCCAGAAGGACAAGTATGAACGCCTCCGCTCGGACGTCATCATTAAACTCAAGTTCCTGGAGGAGAATAAGGTTAGTGGGCAGGGTGGGCCTGTTTGATCATCATCCTCCAGAGCAAGATAAGTTACAGAGGTTTGACTAGATGTCCTGACACCCCCTTATTTCTCTTTCCCAGGTGAAGGTGATGCATAAGCAGCTCCTCCTCTTCCATAATGCCATATCTGCATACTTTGCTGGCAACCAGCAGCAGCTGGAGCAGACGCTGAAGCAGTTCAACATAAAGCTGAGGCCTCCAGGGGCCGACAAGCCCTCCTGGTTAGAGGAGCAGTGAGAGGTTCTGCGGGACCTCCTGCTGCCTCCTCCTCCACCACCTCCACCTGTTACCTGTTGAAACCCCCCAACTTACAGAGGACCACTACAGAGGGAAACACATACAAATACTTGGATGGATGAAGATATGAGATGAGTGTATGGCAGGACGATTGGACTGATGCGTTGCAGGGTATTATTGATGGGATAAATGCACCAGGAATCCAAGTGGCCAGTCTCATAAACAGTCAGGGGGCTTTTAGTGCCTCTTCCCAGCTTCCTTATTTCCACTCTAACCGTCTCTTTGTGCCCAAAAGAACTGTTCATCTCTTCCTTCCCTCTCCCCTATTCAACACTATATTGCTGTGTGAGCTTGTGTTAGTCATGTTCACGGCCATTATTTTACTTCTCAACTGCTACCAGTGCTTGGACTTAAACGTCAACCCAACAACATTATGGCTACTGAGACAGATGACAGAAGGAAAAACATGATAAACCATTAAAACACACTTGGATGTAACCAAACACTTCATCAAAACTCTTCCAGACCTTATCACTCTCCTTGTGTGCCTCCTTATATATGAGCGTGTGTGCTTAATCAACATGTGGCCTACAGGAAGAAAGATAAGTTCAGAAAAATATTCAATCTACACATGCAGAGGATTTGAATGGTAAACTGGAAAGGAATGTGCAGATATTTCAAATCAATGTACATTTCAAATAACGTATTATTTGACTTTTGAAATAAATAGTACATGCTTTTGGTAGCTTACAGTATACAGAGAAAGGCAGTGTTTAGTTTTGCTTAATTTAACTGTACTCTTTATTTTGTACTTATTTTGGTTTTAGTCTGCTTCTATGTCATATGAAGAGCAGTTTACTGTCCGGGCAATGTGTGCTGGTGCTTTAGATTGCAATACTGTAAGCAGCCCAACCATCAGAAATGCTGCAGATTTCAATCTTAACCTGCAAGTTCTTTGACTTCAGCTCGTATATATGCAACAATCATTTAAGAAAGCCTGCGCAGCTTCCCAAAGTTATACCGGTTGGGGTCTTTACTAATTGTATTTTATTTACCCAAAGAGAATTTAGAAATATGTTTACGGGACCCTACTGTATGTTTTCATTTATTTTAGGCAACATTTAGCAACATTGGTTGGGAAAGTATCACTATAGGCAGAGAAGGCTTTGACTGACAGTTGAACTATGAACGATGGGTTAAGATCCAACAAACTCAAATGGATTTACTCCATTATTTAATTGTTAATAAGGACTGTATTTAATAAGAATTAACTACATCTTTTGTTCTCACGTTAATACATTGCAATGTTTTTTTGTCTTAAGTTTGTTTGTCTTTTTAAAGGACATCATTGGCATCGTTGGTCATATCTTTCAGGAGACTGAAAGATATGACCAACGATGCCAATTATGTCATACATCAGAGTATATTTGTCACACTGAAGATTACTGTAGCTCTCTGATATGACTAATCCTAATATTTCAACATCATTTTAGTTGTTCGTAAAAAGGGATAACACTAGCGATTCATCATTTGTCTCTTAACTTAAACATTGTTGTAGAATGGAAGTAAACAATCATCTGTTGTTGACAATTAGGAGAAGGTTTCACTACAGAATATCAGCATGATGGTACTATATTATGTGATGTACTTTTTATGCGTCACTGTATTTATTATGCTCATTGTATGTGTTGGAATGAACATATTTGTCCACTGACATTTCTGGTTCATGCAAATTACTCAATTCACGAGTATGGCGTCTTGCAGATGAACACTAACGTGAAAACATTCCTCAGGCTAACCATATCTGTAATTGATTTACTCCCAAAAATTATTCTAAACTATCTGATTGAAAGTAGTTTAGTTTGCCTTTGTCAAACCTGTCAAGTCAAATGAAGATAATCTGGTATAATAAATGTTTTACCATGCTGAATTGAACTCTTAATCAGTTGATTTCTTTTTTTTTCCTCCAGCATCTTGTCTCTGTATTTGCATGGCAAGCAGTAATCCAAAGTGCAGGTGCAGATATGTGTCAATGCACCGACGCTCTCTGGGCCTTCTGCTGGTCAGCTTACATGAACTGGGATAACGCCATGCTCACGGTTGTTGATTATGTTGAAACTGGCTGAAGACTAATCCAAAATGTGGATTTGCACTGTTCAGGACAATTATTAATGGGAGGGAGCGGTGTTAATTTTTCCATGAAAAGCAGATATCAAACAATGTTTTTCGAGAGTTCTTTGGCTTCTGAATTTGTATGTTGCAGTGTGTAAGTTTGGTGTATTTATCTGGCTGAAATAATAGCTCAATGAGACCTTGGCCTCTCTTACGACTGAAAATTACAGTTCCACTTGGTCCCCTGGACTGTTTGACCATCACACAGCAATATTAACAACAAACCGGCCCCTTTGAAATTCCTAACCCTAACACCAAAATGAATGGCAATAGGATTTGTTTGTGTTGTTCTATAGTTGCACCTCCAGTAAATTGAAACAAGGGTGAGAACTATTTGAAGTCACTCTTACTAGCAGTCTTTAGATGCAGAGAGAACCAAGATTTATAAAATGAGATATTTTATTTGTGTACAATCAATATTTTCTAGGCTGAGCTGGTGTATTGTACTGTATGAATGATTGCACATAATGGTATTTAAGATGATAAATGAAGTTGTTGTATGGGTTGATGTGATACTCTGCCTTCATTCCTCTCTCAGACCTGAACAATCCCACCCTATACCCAGAGGGAAAAAAATAAAAGTACACATTTTCAAATGGCTCCGGTTGGGTTTTTTTGTTCACTCTTTCATTTCCATTGTGATGTGGCCCAGTGTGCTTTCCATGTGCATGCAAACCGAGAAGAAAACATCTGGATTCATTCAAATACAACTTTAACTGTGTGATTACAATTCTACAAAGGAATTTATGATGTTATTATATTCAATCATTTATCACAATGTTCTGTAATTAAAATCTCCTGTGTGATTATCCAAACCATTGGAACATTAACAAAAGTTATTCATTGAATATCACTGATAACTCTCTGAATCGGCCCTCTTCTGACACCTGGAGACATATTTGGATTCAGACATTACAATTGTTTTTCCTTTTAGTATTGATTTTAGCAGCACTAATGTCTTGTGTGCAGTTGCATTGTTGCATTTTACATCTATAAAAAAGTACAACTTTTCCCTTTGCCTTTTTTCATCTATAGCAAAAAATGACATGATGGTTTTACTGTATTCAATAGCCTACTATAATCATACCTTTTTTATTTGAAGTTTTGAATCAGAATTTGACAACCAATGTACAGTAGGCTACAGATCTATCTCTTCTATACATTGTATTTACATACTTACTTTGATGTAAAGTAACTAAGTAGATTTACTCAAGTACTGTACTTAAGTACAATTTAGAGGTATTTCAATTTAATTTGTACACTACAATTCAGAGGTAAATCGTGTACTTTTACTCAACTGCCTTTATTTAATACCTTAATTTACTGTGCAGATTTGGATTGATGATTTAGTTACACCTGGAGTCAAATGTACAAGCTACCCTGCTGTGTACAAAGTAACGAACCAGCTTTGATAAACACTTTAATGGATCAATATTTATAATCAAAACATATGATAAAAATGATTCTGAAATGGGCCAATCTGCATAATGAGTACTTTTGGTTATTTAAGTATATATTGAATACTTTTGTTCTTTTACTTGAGTCACATTTTGACTACAGGACTTTTACTTGTAACAGAGTATTCCTACACTCTGATCTGAATACTTTTTCCACCTCTGCATTTTATACATGGACTTTATTTGTGTTAACATTAGAAGCGGTTTTACCCTTGTCGTGCAAAGAGGTAGCGGTTTGGTTGAGAGGTTTCCCATCATGTTCCTTACGGGCGTACCTGAACAGTAAGTTGAATGTGATTGGTGGAGGCGCGCACTGCACCTGGCTGCTGTTTGCAGGTCTGTAGTCTCAGTGAGAGAGCACGAGGCAAGAGTTTGCCAAGAGTGATACAGAGCGAGGATTTAAATGGCAGCTACTTTTTAAAGGTACGGTGAGTAAAAAACATATGTAACGGTGCTTTGGTGAGTCTATTAAAGCACCACAGTACGTGTTATTGTTGAAAGGGGAATATTTGTAATGTTAGGAACATTTTCTGTGAGGATGCGAGCCCTACATTTGTTAGCAAAGAACTGACAGCGAAACTCTGTGGAGAAAATGTCGAATTAACGATGTCTTGTTGGATAAAAGAGCAAAGACATGTTTTTACAACACTTTCAGATTCGTCTGTGTCGACTTGTATATTCGGCATTTTAATATCCCTTTAAGCAGGATATGTGTCAGTGTTATTTGATTAATAAAAGTTGGTTTGCCTCTTATTTTCAAAAGGGTCTCCACATTGAAAGTTATCATTTATGAGAATATATTGCTTAATACATTAAATGTATGCAAGCCGAATACAGCAGCGAGCAACAATAAGCAATATAGTGTATCATTCCAGATTTGTGACACATTTAACCCTTGCTGTAAATAAGGAGGCATTAAACAAATTATTTTCTCAATGATGTTAAGTGTAACATTGGCATATGGAAGAACCATAATTAGGGGAGGACATACATGGCCCAAATGTTTTGCACTTGTATATTTCAAGAAAGAGAAGTAAAAGAGGTGACAATTTATTTCTGTGTGTGAGGAAGTGATGGTACATTGTTGACATACAGTGTCTGCCTTTGGGTTTTTCAACTTGACAGGTAAAATACATTTTAAATGCTACTCTTTAAATAAATATTTAAGTTGTTTTATGCTTAAATGCTACAGGCTCATTTTGGGCAGCCTGGCAGCAAATAAACAGTTTCAGAAATATAACCTGTATGTTTTTTGCTACACATAGTTTTGCACATTCCAAATGCATACACTTGTTTTGTCTAAAAGCACTTCAATTCTTATGAATGTATATTTCTGTATCTCCTCAGATCTGATTGGCTGACGGCAGGATATTCCCTCCTTATATCATTTTTGGATTTGAGAGATATAGATGGAGGGAGTGCTGCTTCTAAAATCTGCCTCTCCTCCCAGCTGTTCCTCTCAGAACTCTTGTCCCTCTCTTTCACCGGATGCTCAGGAAGCTTCAGACCCCCGGTCATCTTCCCCTGGGCCTCCCACCATGTGTGTGACAGCCGGACCACCACCACCACCACCACCACCACCACCACCACCTCCTCCTCCTCCTCCTCCTCCTCCACCTCCTCCTCCTCCTCCTCCTCCTCTTCCTCCTCCACCTCCTTCATTTGGCTTTAATGATATCCAGCGACGTTCCATGAAAAAGCTGAACTGGGACACCATTCCCAGCCAGCGCGTCCTGGGCAAATTGAACGTCTGGACGTCTATGCGGCCTCAGAGGGTCCTCGAGCTGGATATTCAGAGCATTGAGGAGTTGTTCAGTCATGTAGACAAACGGGCATCGCTGCGCAACTCAAAAGTCATGGGTCTGAATACGTGTGATAACTTGGACCTCTTTCCACAGGAACCTAAGGTAAATAGCAACAGGTGCACTCATGACAAAGGGTGATTTCCTGTAACTGATACACACCATCCTACGTTTTTATTGCAATCTAATGTCAAACTGAATGCATAGACTAGGGAAGTCATTAATACATAAATAGGAACTGCTTTTCAAAAGTTCCACACTAATCATTGCATCGATGGGGAACTGCTAAAGTAAAACCCTTTTGGGAGTGTTTTTGCTTCCTCAAAGGTTTTATTGAAAATAGATTTGTCTCTTCATCTGAAAACTAATCCTTTTATTGATGTGTAATTTTTCTTCCTTTTTTTTAGGTCACAATCCTTGACTCTAAAAAAAGCATGAATATTGGGATCTTTCTGAGACATTTCAAAAGGTAAATATTGCTGGATTTCAATATATCTTAAAAACATAAAACCCCAACCACAAAATGCAAACACAACAGGAACCAAATTAATTTGAAGTTAAAACTGTTAAAACCAGAGGGTGCTTTAGTGTCAAACATAGTCAGCAAATGGCTCTTGACACACTATTCATTTCCACTGCAATAATCATTCCCTAACCATCGGGTTCTTTATCTTAGCAGACCATATTCAAATAAATGGAAATATTTTAAACATAATTTAAGAGCGTTCAGTTTCAACATAGTGAGCTACTCAGCTTTTGTATACAATAGGAGAGAACAGTTTTGTATCTTAGATTATGACATGATCATTTAAAAGAGGCAGCTACTAAGAGATATTGTGAATTGTTGTGATCTAACATGACCATTGCTTGCACTATGTATGTTATGCAAGCATGTAGGATTGGTTTTACAAGGAATTGAGAGGTTTTTAAATAGAAACAAAGGAGTACAACAAGAAGAACAAAAGAATGCAACTTTTTGCATTTATATCAGCCTTGCAATACTCAATATGACAAAGTGGATATCATGCTTTCCATGATAATTGTGGGGGAAACTTCTGTGTAGCAATGCAGTGGGAGTCACCGACTCAGGAAGGAGACACGGGATAGAGCTGGAGCTTTTGATGTCAAACACTGATGGGTTTATTCAGAGTATTCGGCCGGAGGATTCACATCACAAATCACGAGTCAGAGGGTCTGACTTCACGGGAGAGTTGCCACGTCAATTCTGAAGAGCCTCTCTCTATGCTAGACCTTTTAACTGGTTCACAGAGAGTAATCAACATCTCTGAAGGAGTAGACTAAACAGCTGGGAACACTGAACCACTTGCGCCCGACACTTATGGCCTCAAAGATTTCACACCTTAGAGTCCACAAACACCGATAAAGAAGTGCCTCAGTGTTCTCACAACAATTACCATTCGTGCCAGACAAGTTGACCGGTCACAAACTGGTAACAACACGTGGCACCAATGCCTTTCCTTAAAGGAGATAACAGACGTCAGAGTAGATCATAAAACGTCTCAGAGCAAAAGGTTAGATATCTAGAAGAATTATTCCTTAACAATAATGATAGTATAACAGAAAACAATGCTGTGTACATTTCTTTTTTTAATAATGCACAGAACCTATTTAAAAACATATATAGCTGCCTTGATTTTGACACGTAATGTATTTCCATTTTTACCACAACAAAAGTTGCTTTTAGTTGTTTGATTGTCAAGTTGTTTACATTCGCCATTAGCGCCTAAAGCCAAATGGCAGTGAGTGCATGGTCATATAGTATGTGACATTTCAATCATCTAATCTCCTCTCTCATCTGGATTATGGCAACTAGATAATAACAGAATCCAATTTAGGGAGATTTTAATTAGTAAATTAAACTAAAATTGAGAGTGGAGACCATTCAATTGTTGAAAAGTTAGTGAGTGCTTTCGACCAAAATGCCTAAACTGTGAAGCCATTCTAAAATGGTAGTATCTTCATCACTGGACTGACTGGAGCCCGTTTCTGTCTATGAAACTCATCAATATGATGTCACTCTCAGTCCAGGGTTCACTCAGCCTTCTCTTTGCATACCAAATGCACTCTCAATGTGTGTCAACAACTAAGACTGTGTTCATTTATCTTCAGCGTTTGACTTTATGACTGTTTAGCAGCCATCTCTCCCAGGGCCACTGCAGAATTTCCCACCAATCATGCAACACCGTGGGAGCTCATTTAAACCAGGCAATGGTCTGCAACAGCAATGCCACACACAAACATTATAAAATAAAGTTGTTGTAGTTCTCATGTGATTGATAAATGTAATCAAGCTGATTGTATGCCTCTGTTATACGAATACAACTGTTGTCTCTGTCTCCCTCTGCAGGCCAGTGGCAGACATTGTGCAGGACATTAGTCAAGCAAACAGACTTGGATTTGGATTAGGCGAACTACAAGAGCTTTGCAAACTACTGCCTGAAGAAAGAGAGGTACAAACAGCTCCACTCATCCTTTCTGATCTTTCTACATTGATGCTATATGCATAAAATAAGCCTACTAAATATTACATATCTAATCCATTGTTTTTCTCTATTTGAAATAATAACAAAACTATTGACCCAAAGTTACTGTAACTTCATTTTAAAAAAAAGCTGTAGTAAGTTCTATACTGCAAATGCTTCATGTTGTTCAATCATGCTACCTTTCTTGATAACTACTGGATACTTGCCGGTTCAATTCCCTCTTTGGTAATACTGTATGTGAGAAGGAAGTATAACAACAATTACATCACTGGTTGTTGAATCAAACAGGTGAAGCAGCTGCTGTCGTTCAGTGGGAATCTCTCCGTGTTACCCGAGGCTGACCGCTTTATGGTGCAGCTGGTCAAAGTGCCGGGGTGAGTTTTCAAAATAACTTTCTAAAAATGTTTTGGGGTACCTCAAATATTTATGGAATGTCTGAATGGAAGTATTTACATGAAACGCATCAAACGTGTGTGTTCACAGAGGGAACACGTGCTGTTATTTTGAGTCAAATGTTGCCTCATCCAGATATCTCTTAGTTTATTTAAACTGATAATGCAGTAATTAGCCATTTTTGTAAATCTTCTCTTGCCTGTAGCTATGAGGAACGTCTGAAAACGATGGTGCTGAGAGAGGAATTCTTCCCTCTTATGGAGGAGGTGAAGATCTCTGTTGCTGTCATGACCAAAGCAGCTAATGGTAACACACACACACACACACACACACACACACACACACACACACACACACACACACACACACACACACACACACACACACACACACACACACACACACACACACACACACACACACACACACACAGAGAGAAGCTGCTAACAATCCAAACTTCACAATATGTTTTAACACAATTCTCAATTTAAGTTTATATTACGGTTCTCTGTCTCCATCTCTTTCTCTTCTTCCCCCCTTAGAGCTGTTGGACTGTGACGACCTCCACTCAGTCATTCGGCTGGTATTAAAAGCGGGGAATTACATGAACGCTGTTGGTATTTTTCTTTAGAAAATATGTTTGTATTACATATTATTTCAATGCATTTATTTTATGCATTTCATCTACTTGGTGTGCTTTTTACCCTGCATTTATAAACTGAAGAAACTACTATTCAAATGTTTTACTCAGGGCGGTTACAGTGCAAATGCCATCGGCTTCAGGATGACCTCTCTGCTCAATCTGGCAGACACCAAGGCCAACAAGCCGGGCATGAACCTCATGCACTATGTTGCCAAGGTGAGTCATGCTTTGTCTCTAAACAGTTGTGTAACTGATTTATTCTCCTGCTCCATCTCTTTACTCACAACTGCTCCCCCACCCCCCCCCCCCACCCCCCCACCCCACAGCAAGCCGAGGACATCGATGCCGAGTTGCTGACGTTCCACACCCAGCTGGAGCACATTGGGTTGGGAGCAAGGTATCATTCACACACAGTAGCTTCAAAGTCAAATGCGTGTCAATCTTATATTACGTCTGGTTGGTATGATGCACAATTGTGTATTACCTGGAATAAGTCATGTAAATGTGACTCATGTCCTTTGCTAACACAGAGTTTGTAAAGAGGAAGTCATCACGGACTTTGAGAGGCAACTCAAAAAGGTCAAGGAAGTGAAATTGTACTGCAGCAGACAGCCTGGCCTCTTACAACAAATGGAGACATTTTTCTTGGTAAAGTTCCCCCCTGAGCTTGTAAACACTTCGGTCAGTCTCCAGTATGGTCCATCTGCTTCATACCATTTCTAATGCTTTCATTTCTCAGAGGGCTGAGGCCAAGCTGGCAGATGTGGAGTTCTCCGTTCTGGAGCTGAAGGCTCTTAGCAATGCTGTCGCTGAATATTTCTGTGAAGACCCGGCTACCTTCAAACTGGAGGAGTGCTGCTCCATCTTCCATTCGTTCTGCAAGCGATTTGACACGGCTGTAAAGGTAAGAATAGAAAGAATTTACAATCGTATTTAAATCTGCTTAGAAATAAATCGCATCACAAGGAGAAGTTACCCTTTTGCTTTGTATTGAAGTGGCAATTTAAAGGAACCAGACCTGGTTTAACGTCCAATGCTTTCAATGTTTTACAAATGCTGTCCTAATGTTTACTTGTGTCATTTGCACTGTGTAGTATCTTACTTGAATATATTCTCCCTTTTCACGGCTGTAGGAGAATCAAGAGCGAGAGGCAGCCGACCAGAGGCGCAAGCGGAAGGAGAGTATGCGCTTTGTAGCCAAACGCCGCTCCATAGTGTCTTGCCCAGGACCCAACACTGAGCGGGACTCAGGTATCGAGTCTGCCTTACACAGCTTTCTCTCCTCCGCTCCAGAGGGAGTCGTCAGAAACAGGAAGAAGATACTGCCCCCAATCGAAGGATCTCCTGTTGAACGCAGCGCTTCGGTTCCATCGCTAGAAAAAATGGAGACTCCGCCCCGTACTAGACCCGAGAAGAAACAACCCATACTGCAGGAAAAAGACGGGCAAATAAGTGATCTAGAAAAAAAAGAAGAAGCTGACAAAATGCGTGAGATAAGCAGGAAGGTGCTTCACTATCAAAGCAGCAGAAGCAGCCTTAATGGGAGCAGAGATTCAGACACTCCCCTACGGTCGGAGAGAGCACAGGACACACCGGGCACCCCGAGTACCCCGAGTACCCCGAGTACCCCTCAGCCTCGAACCAGAGACTTCTTCTTCTCCAACAACGGTGATTCGGGCTCCCCATGGACGATCCTGAGCCCTTTTACTAGCTCCCAAAGAAACGCCAGACACCTACGCAGACTATCCTCAACTCCAAGTGGGAAAGACTTTGATGAAGTGTGGGAGATGGACAAAGGCAGTTCCTCTGAACCGGACACTCCAACATCTCCCCCAGAGGGTCCTGCCTCCCTCCCTGAGTGCCCCAGTCTAAGAGCTCTGTCGCAGGCTCCCATCCTCAGGTCTGTTTCCATGGATGGAACCATGCAATTTCCAGCCACTGGTTTCCGGCTGGGAGACTTCATCCTGAGAAGCATGTCTCAGAGGTCATACTCCTCTGGATCAAGGACAGAATACAGGAGAGATGGAGGAGGAAGAGTGTCTTCATTGCTTGGCAGGAAGGCTGGGAATCATGTAGAAGACCAGGGGAGCTCCTCGGGGCTCCTCTCTTTCTTCAGGCGCATCGGAGGCAAAAGTAGGCCGTACGATGTGGAAGAGCTAGAATATATATAACATTTTTTTATTTATAGACCAAGGCCAAGCTTTGTCGTTTTTCTATGTTTAAGCATTTTAAATGAGTTTGTCTTTTTGTATTGATATGGTTTTACCCTTCAGTGGAACCAATGCAAATAGGGACTTGCTTTGAACTGTGAAGGTTTTGTTTTTGTGAGGGTCAAACCATGTTCAAAAATATCTTCTCTTTTTTTGTCTTTTTGTGCGCAATAAAGTGTATTATTCTACCTTTTTTATTTTACTCGTATACACTGTATGGATCATGCACCCAACAACTTTGACATGTTGAAAAATGTCTCCTCTCCCACCCTTTAATGAAATCCCTAAAAGTCTGTCTGGGGCTCATGTCTCCTTAGTCACGCCTACTCAGTTTTCAGTACTTGCCTTTCACTTCATCTATTATTTCTTGTGTCAGTCTGGCTGGGAGGCGCTCGTTAACGCAGCACAAAGAACCCTTTATCTTTAAGGGTTTTTAACACGTATACAATATGCACACTGAGACAAACACAAAAGCAACTAGATAGGAAATTCACAATATATCATTGAAATGTCCACCTCCTAGCTGATGCTGTCATCACATTGAAAACATAATCTGAATAGGACACATTGTTGCTGGTGAACCCACGCTGGGATCCAGATGATCCGCCAAGAATTTGTACAGAAAGAGACATTCAGCTTCAGTGTTACTTTGGCAACAGGGTTTGTTTACAGCTATTTAATTTGAGCTCTTGGTGAAATAACATTCTCTGGAACAAAGTGTTAAATACAGGCTCCTTTCTTACTTGTCCTCCCACTGGCAAGCGCTCAATGGGGACATTTCAAATCAAGGGGCACGATGAATAGAATTTAAAAAAGGGAATATATGGGCAGTTTTTTAAGGAATGTGACTACTTTGTGACAAAGAAAGTTAAGTTGTTTTTCTAAGTTATATGCCTGCAAGCTATCCTTTAAGTTGAGGATGTCAAACAGAAGCCCAAAGCAAGGCCTTCTCCACACAAGCAGAGACGACGTTAGCAGCGGCTGACCGGTTTGGTGTCAAATGAGCTCCAGAGTACAATTGGGCCATTGTTATAAAACGTTCACTGCGTCCAAGGAACATCTCATGTGAGTCAAATCCTGAGGACTGGAGGTGAACTTTTGTCTCTCACCAGGGCTGTGCTAATCAACGTTTAGAGTATGTGTGTGTATTAGTGTGTCACAGTGTAAGATGAGAAGCGAGCATGAATAGAGAAGGAGTGGGGTCGGTTGGGGGGAAATTTGGAACAAGTGACAGAGGGAGGGAGACATGCAAGTTTACATTGTGAGGAAGCATTTAGGCAGAGAAGGGAAAGTGAGAGTAGACGAGAAGCCAATATCTTGAAAACGGAGAAAGCACAAAAAGGCAAATGCACAGGATGAATAACTGAGGTCAGCTGGACTCACAGATGAAAGAAAAAGGCCATCAGGTGACAATCCTGGATGTTTTTTTTATGTGGGAACTAGCTGCCGGAACCAAAAGGTATTTTTGATAAATGCATTACAGAATATTAGCTATAATATGTTTAGATGTTTCCATGTTTTTATTTTGTGTAAACCTCAAGCACTGAAGCAAATAGCCGCACAGAGGTCTGGTTTAAAGAAATTCATTATCCTGCTCTTTGGTTACATGACAAGATCAGACAGTGTGGAAACTTAATCCACCGAAGCAGCTGCTATAATCAGATTTGAGGTTAGAAAGGAAAACCATGAGGAATCAACTCGTGATGTTGTTTGCAGATTTTAAATCACATTTTGGATTTGTTGAAACTATTTACTCCATCAATATGTAGTCTATGAATGCTGAACCTGTGGCTGCTCTTTAGTGGAAAGTATCAGTTACTTTTCAAGCCTCCTGTCCAGGCTCATGTCCTTTGTATCAGTGTTTCCTAAACCTAATAATTTATCCCATTTATTGTATTATTATTTTAAAATGTAATTTACATTGATTGTTGAATACATGTAATTTAAGAAAAAGATGCATGTTATATTCTACCTTCAATATAGAACTATAAGAGGCCTATCATCTGATTTTCTACTGTTAACATTAAATATTTATCATCAAACCGCGGGATTATAAAACGATTTCTTCAATGTTCTGTTAATGTGACCAATGCAGGCAATTTCAATGATAACCCTTTAAAAGTTAAAAAGGATTGACCCCGACGTGATTTGAACACGCAACCTTCTGATCTGGAGTCAGACGCGCTACCGTTGCGCCACGAAGTCATACAGACCAAATGCGGAACTACTCTATATATCCCTGTTGAGGCATGTATTTACATCCAATTGCGTGGTTTTGAATAATTACGCCTAATGTCATAGTCAATTTTAACACACACCGAGGCAATTTGTGTAACCATGGGCATTGCAGGCACTAGGTGTAATTAATTTGTTTAATTTCTCTCGATTGAGATAAAACAGTCGTTATCTGATTTCGCTTATACGCGTCGCTTCAAAATGTGTCTTTATTTTCAGATTTCAAAAAGTGAAAAAGGTAAGATCATACCACTATGTTCTCATTGTATCTGCATGTTAGGAAAGTGTACGTGTTCAACCCATAGGTTCAACCAATATATCCAATAACTGATAGAATGCTGTTAGTGATTTAGTCCCCAATCGGTCGCTAGATGGTGCAATTTACAGAGGAGCGTTGGTTTCAAACTTGGTCCACATTCATTAAGCAGAGCCTTGAATGCCCTCAACATAATAATAGTGAGTCCTCTAAAAAAGTAAGTAAGTGAAGTAAGTCATTCAATTTGAACTATGAAACTTTTAGAATAATAATGACATTGTTGTTCATGGTCCCACTACACTGTCAAAATATATGGGAAAACACACCACTATTCCCAGAATCCTATGTTCCTTGTAAAATATAATAATATATATGTTAGCTTTGTTTGTTATTCAAATGCTTCCATGTCTCTCTGTTGATCCAGCCGTTTATAGGAGTAAAGAGTGGCATCTGGAGAATCTAGGGCACCATCCAACCTTCATTAGTGAGCAACCTGTTCATAGCAGAATGGATCGGTAAGTGCAACAAAAAGAAATGTGTGTTTTGACATTTTGCATTGTCTGTTGATTGACCCTAGGTAGGCTACCTAGGTGAAACTGTATTTAACAACATAACAAAACTCTTTAGTCCTCCCACAGGGTTTATTATCATCAATAAAACAGTAATTATATTCATCAGTCACCTTAAAAAAGACTTGCTTAGTGCTGATATGAATGTCCTTCCTGCCCCTAGCCACTCTGATTAGGATGCATGCTGTTTTCTGCCTACACTGACGAGATGAGCTTAAACGACAGGGAGTTGGTGCAGCAGCGCACATTGATTATGGGTAAATGTCACATTGTTGTCAAGGTGAAGGAAAGGTGATGCTGTGTTATTTGTGTGGTTTATCAACTCAGGCTGGTCTGGTTAAGTCAAGTGTTTAAGTTCAGGAGCAATAACAGTGTAACTCAGTCTGTTAGTTTGGTTGCTGGACAACACAAGAAAGGTCTGGTTTCTCTCTCTGGTTTTTCTGTGGACGAAACCATTTATTTTTCATAATATCTTTGCATTAACTGAAAGTAAGAATTGAATCCGACAATGTAATGCTTTGGGAAATTGTCCAGTACCAGTATAGTATATAATTGAACCAAATCAAATGCAGACATGCATACTTTACACAGGCTAATAGCAATGAAGATGACACATTTGGTGTGCTATATGAATAACATATTTGTATTACATATTTAATATAACAGACATGTATTGGGATAAAATCCTATGTTTTGCAGTATTCAGTCTACTCTCTGCTGCAAACAAAATAGTTATTCTGGATACTGAGTCAAAAGCTTGTCTATACCTGGAGGGTTGTCTAAACTTGCACAGAGACCAGCTTTTATGATCTGCTGGCCAAGGATGAGATGCTAAGTGGACTGTTTCAGAGAGAGAGAGAGAGAGAGAGAGAGAGAGAGAGAGAGAGAGAGAGAGAGAGAGAGAGAGAGAGAGAGAGAGAGAGAGAGAGAGAGAGAGAGAGAGAGCCATCTGCGTGTTCTGCTGCACTGGATGCAGTCTCCATGGCAACATGGTGCTCCCGCAGTGAAATCCTGGGAAGATGGTCCCCACCCCCTTGCGCATGCCATGCACATAGGCAAACTGGCAAAGGATGATGCTCATACCTCCGGTGGCCATACACACAGATATTACAAACCCTGCAATCACAATTTTCCTGTCAATACACTTCACTGTTTATATTCTCTCTCTCTCTGATACACCCAGACCTTACAACACTGTCATGTTATGCTTCAGAATAAACTATGTTTCCTTAACAACCTTTACTTACTTAATGTATACTCTTACTTTTATGTTACTCTCTCTTTTTCAAAGCTGATTTTCACATGTATGTACAGCCTGTCAATAAGTAAGATTTTATGTTTTATCTCACATCTTCCTCCAATTAGTTTGTATATACACTCTCCTTATTTATTTTTTAGGAGACTGAGTTATAGGTCTGGTTGCCTTTAAAGTTTCTCAAACTGACTGACTCCCATTCTCTTATATGAAGCATCACATGTTCTGCTTGATGGTTTGGGGTTTCTTATTCTCCTAACACATGCAATCAAAAAACAAAAACGGAGATTGAGAGCAGCAATTAAAAAAATCTCCCACTCTGTGTCGCTATCTCTCCTTCACTTTGTTCATCTCTTACACCATTGGTCAATCTAGCCCCCTCCCCTTTTCACACCAGCCAGTCAGCTCATACAATCTCTCTGTATCATAGCCTCCTAAGAGCCCCTCTCTCTCTCCCTCCTGTCAGCACACACATACATGCATTAAAGCCAGATACTGATCACACTTAAACACACACACAGAGACACACGCACACACACACACACACACGCAGTGTTCCTGCCTCCCTCTCTTCACTCTCTGTGTGAGGTGCGCTTTGCTTTGGCAATGCTGGGTTTTGCGGACGGATATCGCTCCCCGTGGAGCAGCGCGTGCTGAAACTTCCCTGTTACTGTCCTTCATCTGTCAGGAACCTGCTGTAAGTAAATCCCTCTCCCAGACACTCGCTCTTTCATGTCATCCCCACTGTGTGTGAAAGTGCTCATTCCCTCATCCTCCACTATTTCCTTCTCTCACTATCCTCGCCTTGGCAGAGAGTCAGCCTTTCTCCCAAATCTCCCTCTGCCCTGTTTCCCCTCCACTGATGGACGCGTACACCTAATGTTGTCTTTGTGCAAACTATTGCCGCAGGCCATTTGCTGCTCTGTGATGGGTTTGTACTGTGATAACCTGAGAATAGTTCCTGCGTGACAGTGTTTGACACCATCTCTGAGGCTGACTGGGCTGTTTGTATAGATGAGTGATGAGATATGCTGCGGTCATCTATGCCTGATAGAAGGTTTGGGGATATTTAAAAAATGATCCCTGGAAGTAATTATGTGTAGCCTGTGTCAGCATATCAAAACATGCTTCACATGTTTGCCCTGAGTGTGTAATAATCAAGATGATGGCTTGTATTATTGAAGTGCAATTTTACACAATTCACTTAGAAAAACAGCTATCCCTCTCAAAGTACTTTATACACCCTTCCTGTCCCAGAAAAACCTTTTACAGCTAAGATGCTATCAATAATTCATTGACAATGACCTTAAAACAAAACTGTTTTGCCTTCTAAAGTTTGCCTTTACTCAGTCAGTATTTGGGTTTCAGGAGATGTTAACCTTATTATTCATCAGCTCTACAATTTGATCTCATGATGTAATCTGAATATATAGTTGATGATGTTGTGAGCAGAAATATTACCTTGGCATGAAGCATATGTATGAATAGAACTCCAAGCAGACACCAAACTCAGGGACTCAGGATATGAGTGTAACAGAAGCATTGTGTGTAGATAGCTGGGATATTGAACAAGCATATTTAGAAAAATAGTGATCACCTCTGGTCGCTGTGGGGGGAAGTTGAGACTGGAATGTCCAGCTGGCATGGGAGGAATGTCACCGGAGCTGCATGGGAGGGGTGAGACAGGCGAGGAGAAATGTAAACTTCAACATGCACTGAATGATTAACTGAATGGTTGCAAATACTCTAACCACTGGATTTTCTGCCCCATTTGTCTTTTTAACTGCCACTGCACCTAGCTGGCTCGTGTCTGTTCAGATGTTGAAGTTGTCATTGTCATGGTCAAAGAGCTCTCACTATGCTAAGGCTGTTAGCTGAATTGATGTATCCACCAACAAGCAGTGCAACAATCGATGAAAAGAGAGATGTGAGGATCATTTTATGTCCAAATAAGGCCTTTGTGCGATTGTGTTTACTCGTTTATTGTTATGACACAAATGCTGAACAAGCCATCTTTGTGTAATTTAATAAGATAAAATACAACCTTACAGTGATAGCCAGCTACATATACAGGTGTGTGTGTGTGGTGTGTGTGTGTGTGTGTGTGTGTGTGTGTGTGTGTGTGTGTGTGTGTGTGTGTGTGTGTGTGTGTGTGTGGTGTGTGTGGTGTGTGTGTGTGTGTGTGGTGTGTGTGTGTGTGTGTGTGTGTGGTGTGTGTGTGTGTGTGTGTGTGTGTGTGTGTGTGTGTGTGTGTGTGTGTGTGTGTGTGTGTGTGTGTGTGTGTGTGTGTGTGTGTGTGTGTGTGTGTGTGTGTGTGGTGTGTGTGTGTGTGTGTGTGTGTGTGTGTGTGTGTGTGTGTGTGTGTGTGTGTGTGTGTGTGTGTGTGTGTGTGTGTGTGTGTGTGTGTGTGTGTGTGTGTGTGTGTGTGTGTTGTGTGTGTGTGTGTGTGTGTGTGTGTGTGTGTGTGTGGGTGGTTGTGTGTGTGGTTGTGCTGCTCCCTTTCGTCCTCTTCGCGGACTTGATCAGCTCTAAGGTGATTGTGTTGCCATGGGTAACAGCAACTGTATTCCTCCTCCATCATGCTGGTCTACATTTATGCTTCATGATTTTATTTCTAGGTTGAATGAGTATGAGCAAAGTTTAAAGGGTAGAGGAATTCCTAAGAGAGATGTAACAGTTTCATCTGGGAGTGTATGTCCGTGTTTAGCTGAATTGTTATTACCCTCTGCTGTCAAAGCTGTTATGGCTTTAATTGCTTTTTATTGATTTCCAGTTGTATTGATTCACCCCAAACTTCCAAATTCACTTCAAAAAAGCCATTCTTGCTATTACTCCGTAGTTTATTTACAGATGCCCAATCTCGGGTTGCATATTTAAAGTGGTCAGTAAGTGTTGTCATTGTGTTTGGGTTGTCAATCTCGTCCATTACTGTGTAGAATAAAAATGTGATTGCCTGTTTGGGCTTTTCCTTCAACCATATTTACTTTGCAGGCTATTGCGGGAAGAGGCATGTTGTGAAAGCTTAGTGACTGAGCTGAGAGATGCAGTCATGTCATGTTGGATATATTTAGATAGATCCCTCAGGGATGTGCATTAATAGCACTGGCCATATTGTGCCATTTCTTCAGCATTTCATGTAACATCTGGAAAGAAAACACTCTTGTTTTTGTCACGCTCACAGGTACAGATCAGAACCCAATAGCACGACACAGATACAACCAGTGTTCAGAATGTTCAGTTTAATCAGGTCAGGGACAGGCAGGGTCAAAACCAGGAAATCCAGCAGTCAGGCAAACAAATCCGAGAAGGGGCAGGCAGAACAGGGCTCAGAACCAGGCGATCCGTCAGACAGGCAAACAAATCCAAACAGGGGGCAGGCAGGAAACTCGAGGTCCGATAATAGGCAGGCAGGGGTCAAAACCGGGCAGGACAGGTAACTAGGCAAGAGATAATCAAACGCTGGAGAGCTTGGCAGAATAGACAAGACAATCTGGCAGAGGACAAGTGAGAGTCAGGTGGTATAGGAGTAATGAGGGAATGAGTAGCAGGTAAGGGGGAGGGCTGGGGAGACCATTTGAGGGGAGTGAGCTGATTGCAAGAGCCTGGAGGAAGGTTGGATCTGAAATGACAGGAGAGTTAAAAACAACAATAATATGTGTCTAACTTGTGACAGTTTTAACCTGTTTTTATATTACTATATTCAGTGAAACCTTTTGTGAGATAAATTGCTTTAAAGATCAGATCATTTTATAGTTACAAAAAGCATACACTTCAACTCAGAAGGTTAAGCTCTTTCTTATTTTAACCATCCTTGCCACTGTTCTTTTCTCATGTCATTATAACATTTGTGATTAAGCAACATTTTAATTTGAACGAATGGTCTTTGTGGGTATTTGGAAGCTGCATATTCCTTATAGAGGAAGAGAGCTACATTTTCTCCATCTATTGTATGCTTGCAACTCTGACCTTTCTAGTAATACTGATATTTGTGTATTGATGCTTCAGTCAATACAAGCTCTGATCTGAAGGTCCAACAAAGAATATATTCATGTTAGCATACTAATTGGCATTATATAGAACTAGTAGTACTCAGACTTTGACGTCAGGCTATTGTACATAAATACAGCTGAAGGATAGATTAGTATCACTCGCTTATCTGTTAGAATAATGTACTATTGATGTTCCTGTGTTCACTGTCTTGATAGTAATCCTTGAAGCAGTCATGTGTTCAATGCTTCTTGTAGGCACTGTGTTCATCATAGAGGCCTTTTTATATGTTGGCACTGAATGTTATTACTGTATTCCCTCCTTAGAATAGCAATAAGAACATCAAGACTGTCATGGTCATGCCGTAGTCAAACAAATAGCTTGATGATGGCAGTTAAACAAATAAGAATACAGTAACCATGCTGTAATCGTGTTAGGCAAAAAAGAAAAGTAACATATATCTAAAGTTCTTTAACTGAGGAATTACTTGTGTTTCAGGAAATGCTGATTTATTGTATGTGTGGGTTCATTATGTTTTTGCATTGACATGCTTCAGTGGTAATGGTGTGCTCGAGTTGTGTACACCTGTGTGTGTGTGTGGGTGTCTGTGTGTGTGTTCACGTGTGCTTGCATGCTGGAGTGTGAGCCGTGTGCTAATATGCTGATACAGGCGGTTCCTGTGACAAATTCCTGCCCAGCTTGGCTCAGATTAGGCAAGCTGATAATTTTAGCAATGCTTAAATCAGTCAGTCCCGCTGTGTGTGGACAGCGCAGAGTGGGTACTACTCCTCAACATTTGTCATCCACTACATCATCTTGCCAGAGGACTATTAAGATAAATGTGTGTGTTGTAACGTGTTAGTCAGCTGACATGCTTTTTTCTGCTCTGCCATCATAGCAGAAATCTGGTGTTTAAAGCGGACTACAAGACAAGCAGTGTGGAGTCACAATGTGTGGTCACTGGTCAGTACGTGTTTGTTTTTTTTAGACAGAAGCAGCACAATTCAATCCTTCATTTGAGGTCTAGTTTGTGTCAAGATGGCATCAAAGTGATTAAACTCTATGGTCATTTTAAGGCTTTTGTCCGAGTGGATTGCATTTCATTGGGAAGAATTTATGTTATTTGAGGGAATTTGGTTTTTAAGGCCACAACCCTAGTTCGTCTTGTTGATTTGCAGAGGTTAGCAAACGGTCGAATCATAAATCTGCTGACCTATCAGCATGACGAACAAATGATGGAATTTCTAATCCCCTTTAGTAGATGAATTTCCACCCTGTTAGGAATCAAAGCCCTAATGCACATGCATGATTCAAGGACAGGGTTTTATATGATGAGCAGCATGAAAAAAAGACCTCCACCACACCATGGCGTGAAGTTGGAATATCCCCAACTCCACGTCATGGTAAACACATCTTTATTTCTCTGACATCTTTCACCATGTTTGGTCATGTTGTCTCTTTGATGTGAAGGACATGTGAGTAAAGCACCCATGGCAAAGCGCTTTTATTCTTTTGTTTTGATTGGTGTTCCGGATATGTGGATCTTACATAACCACAGTTTTTTCTAAAAGCACCCAGATGACGAGCATCTGAATTCCCCCTGCATCTTGAGAAATACATACTCAGTCAAAGTCTGTTAAAAGTAAAACACTGTAAACATCTTAAATGTCTAAGTTCTTATTTTGCCATGTGACATTGAACTAGCTGTTT